ATATTCTTTGCCATCTGTATGAATCTTAACAACGCGTTACTTATTCTCGATTTCGTTATGATACGTACCATACAAGAATTGTTTGATAATGTATTGTGATTCGTTGTGATTAGTAAAATGAAACGAGAATTATTACGGGTCTTGATTATTAATAAAAATATAATTCTTTATTTCTATCATTATTAATAATAGAATTATTTTTTGCCAGTTTCTTTGTTTTTTCCAGTTTAAAATTTTATATTGATAACTTAACAAAAATAAAAATCCTACAGCAATATTTGATGCAATATATATAAATTTTTGGAAAATTTTGCGTGTTTTCCAGAGACTATTCTCTCAACGAGTGAAAGAAAGAGAGAAATAAAGAGAGAGAGAGAGAGAGAGAGAGAGAGCACGAGTTTTTAATGTTGTTATCAAAATTATTTATTAATATTATTATTATTATTATTACATTTATTACTTGTACAAAGCTTTTTATATTGGAGTTTGAAAGTAAAAATAAAGATCTCAGCATCCAAAATAATACGTGACAGACTTTGGAGAAAATCTCGTTTTATTTCTAAGCTGAATTCCCGACAAGGAAAGCGAAAAGGATCCCAACCAAGAGATGGACTACTTGTCAACTCGAAGTTCTTACATGTTACGTAGCTACGTGACTGGATTTATTGACGATGACCCAAGTAGTAAATACTCGGACCGTCTATTTGCGAACGTTCCATTTTCGAGGAGCTTTCCTCTGACCGGAAGTTGAATTTCATCTAAATAACTGATTAAGTAATGGACTACTCTCTATAGCTACTATATGTTCAGTTCACGGAAATTAATATTAAAATCAATATATATATATATGTATATTTCTTGCAATATATGTTATATAATGCGAATAAGAAATTATCCTTAAAGGGTATTTTTACGACGGTATTCTTAATACACACGCATGAAATTGTAATTTTTGTAATTTATTGCAGTGTGTTTTTAATGTTTAATTAATTTCATTAATTGTTTAAGAGCTTAATTGTGTATGAAAGATTCTGAGTAAGATACCGGAAGTTCATTTCGCAGAAGTAAACGTTTCAACCAAATATTTCTCATTGCTCGAGGGAAAATTAATAGTTTATATGTAAAAATAGTTCCATTGTTAACTTTTTTCATGTTTTAAATTAATTACATCAGAAAAATGTTTACTTTTATCGGAAAAATTATTAACACAATGCTAAATGCATATACATACTTAAGTGAAGAGTTTTACGGAGTAATTCTCTATATATTTTTATTTCTGTCTTCTTATATCTTTATTTCTATATTCTTTCTTCTAGCTTTTTTGTAATGTTCTTTTTAAGTTCTTATAAAATTTTTCAAAAATAGTATTTCATGTCTCTTAGTAACGCACATATTATTTGTGTGCTACACAATATAATAAATTCATTATTCTCCGAGTTGTTGCCACAGATTCTCGATAGTCAAGAAATAGCATACCCACGAACAACAAATCGACTAATATTACTGTTTACATGCAAGCTGAAACTACGTGTAATCAGACTGATGCTATTATAGACGGAAAACTTTATCTCACGATTCTTACGTTGCACGAAGAATATTATTACAAAGTTATCTTATATTTATATGACTGTATTTGCACAACAATATGTAAAAAATTAATAGATGTTTGTCAAGATAAGATCTAACAAATAATGCAAAAATTTTCAAAATATATTAATTAAAATACAAATGCATTAATTAATTTTATATTTTTAGGATATCTTAAATCTATCACATCACCTTTCAGTCTTGGATCCTTAGTTAAATTCGTAAATTTCTTGATGAAGATTTTATATAATTATATATAATTATACATAATTATACAGGATGTTTGATAAGTAACGATAAAACTCTCGCATAGGGGTAGAGCGGACTGAACTAACAATGAGTCGAAAAGTCCTCTACCATCTTACAATTTTCGTAATAATTAACAAAATATTAAATACTAAAAACCATCAAATGCAATACTAAAAAATTCTGAAAAAATTCTTAGAGCTCTATGAGAAGAAAATAAATAATTTTTATCCTTGTTGTTTTTCTGTAAAGTTGAGAGTAGTTGAGTAAAAAATTATTGACAACCAATATTTGGTGATTTTTAGTAATTGATATCTTGTTTAGAGTCGGGACAAGGACGTGGCGAGCGAGGCCTCATGTAAACAATTTGAAGGGGGCACAAAAAAAATGGCAATATAATTTTTATCTATTATATCGGAATACTTTTAACTATTCTGGTAACAATAGCTTCATATAAAAGAAATTTTAGTAAATTGAAGTTAATAAAAAATTATAATATTTAAGGTCATCATTAAGTCAAGGAAAATTATTAAATATAGGAATTCTTTCAATTGAAAATGAAATATGTAAGGATATAGATTTTGAAATAATAATTAATAGTTCGCATTTATCGAAACACGAAAATATTATTGTGATTTTAGTAACTATGTTTCATTTGTAATATACACGTAAATTTGTATGATTATGACGTATAACTCCTCTCCTGATTACACGTGATTATATTAAATTAATATTAATATACAGGGTGTCTCGTAAGTTTGACCAATCGCTTTTGTGTAGATAGAGCGGAGTAAACTGAGTCGAAAGTCCTCTACCATTTTGTAATTTTCGCAATAGTTAACAAGATATTAATTACTAAAAATTGCCAAATATTGGTCTTAAATAATTTTTTTAGTCAAATACTATCAACTTTACAGAAAAACTGCAAGAGACAAAAATCATTAATTTTCTTCTGATAGAACTCTAAGAATTTTTTCAGAATTTTTTATCAACTTTTTAGAATTGCATTTTCTTGTTTTTACCAATATGAGAAAATACGGTATTAAAAATTTCTGAAAAAATTTTCAGAATTTTATGAGAAAAAAATTAACAATTTTTGTCTCTCGCTGTTTTTCTGTAAAGTTGATAATATTTGACTAAAAAATTATTGAAAACCAATATTCAGCGATTTTTAGTAATTAATGTCTCGTTAATTATTGCGAAAATTGCAAAATAATAGAGAATTTTTCTACTCAATTTAGTCCGCTCTATCTAAAAGCGATTGGCCAAAACTTACGGAACTCCCTGTATACTATTAATTAATATTGATTAATATACTATTAATTACTATTAACTAATATTATTTCCTATTATATTTCACATGTTATAAAAAAATATTTTTTTTACTAAGAGACGCATTTTTTTATTTTGCCTCGGTCGTCGAAATACTTAGTCCCGACTCTAATTTTGTTAACTATTGCGAAAATTGCAAAATGATAAAGGACTTTTCGACTCAGTTTAGTCCACTTTATACCTATGCGAGTTTTATCGTTACTTATTAAACACCCTGTATATGAAACATTTTTTTCCCGGGAAATTCTTTATTTAACATGATTAAGTAAGTTGACTTGAAAATTAAGTTCCAAATTATAAATGACAAAATATTGTAATTATAATTATATTATAATTATATTTATGAATTTTTTAATTTATTAATTAATTTAAGGATTTAAGTATTAAAATTTCATTTTTGGAATAAAAGTTTTGTCATGAGCAAATATAATTTCGCATTTGCTAATTTCTAAATATTAAATTTATTTCCAAATATTAAGAATTCTGATATTAATGAAATCTTTAGAATTATTTTATTAACTATTGTATTAAAATCCTTTATATTATAATTATGGCTCAATAAATTCATTGCTTCGTTCTGAAGGAAAAGAAATATACAGGATGTCCTAAACTTTTTGGCACACCGCTTGTAAACAGATAGAGCGGACTAAATTGAATCGAAAAGTCCTTTACTATTTTTCAATTTTCGCAACTTTTTTTTAGTTACCCAATGAGCAGAATGTCTAAAATCGACGCATAAAATAATTTTAAGATATCTTTAAAAGTTTTTTAAGAAACATTTTTTTAATGTTTCATAAAGAACTCCGAAAGATATCTTAAATGTTTTATGTATCGATTTTACCTGCTTATACGGCAATATTTAGAAATTTATACCTCATTAACTATTGTGAAAATTGCAAAATGATAGAGAATTTTTCAAGTTTAGACCAGTCTATCTGCCCACTAGCTTATTTCTAGCTTTAATTGAAAAATATATTCTATTATAGATATATCAATATAAATAAAAAATTATTAATTAACTTAATGTTAAATTAAAATTAAATAAAACGTATTAAATAAAATGATTTTAATAAGGTTAAATAAAATTATTTTAATAAATATTTGTGAAAAATCGGAGTCATTTTAAATTGTCTAAAAAAACATGTCAATTTTTTAAACCTTTTTAGGCTGTTTGCGAGAGATACTACTTGATCGAATCATTAATCATTATCTTAACAATTAATCTTCATTTAGTAAATCCTGAAAAGTTCTTTCAATAAAAATAAAAATGACATAAAGTAATTCAGCATTTATTGATTCACACCTCGAAGTTCTCTTATTATAGTATTTATAATAATCATCGTTAGAATCGTGGTAATAATAATTAATAATAATAATAAATCGTTATTTTCGAATTATTGTACATTGATATATTATCTCATATAATATTTATATCTCATAGATGTGCTCTATATTAATATTTATATTTATATATTTATAGACTTCTCTATTCTGCTTTCCGATTAGAGAATAGACTTTTAAAACTCTCTATACTTTATCACTTGCCAAGAATAAATTCTGGCAATAAGAAATCGAGAAAACTATGCTTGCTTAAAAAGAAAATATATCCCCATCAAACATTGTTAATGATTTAACTTTTTTTTTACTTCGAAAAACTTGCGGTGTTCATCGAAAATTAATCTGAGAATTAATTAATTAAAAGTCAATTTCAGAATTAATTTTCGATATCAATTATTATTAATAATAAATAATTTATGTTGAAATTTAATTAAAATCAGTAAAATAATAGTTTCTAATTGTTAAATAATTAGAAATAAAAAAAATAATAACGTTTACTAATGATAAATACGTTAAAAAAACTGATTTTATTAATAACAATTAATATCGAAGATTAATGGGGAGAAAACTCTTTACTTTCATTTCTTTTTTTTTACGCAGAAGCCAGCATTATCGCATTTTTACAATAAAAAGATTTACAGTAAATATAGTCTAAACTTACAGAACTCATACTAAAGATACAATTTCGTACTTAAAAATGGGCCTTGTAAGTCACAGAATTATGCTATATCAATGATCGTAATAATGATCATAACAAGAACGATTGTCGATGTATATAATATTAACAATTACAATAATAGAGCGATAAGCCTCGCTTCTGCCGCAGACAGAACACTATGCAATTGACTTATACCTATTTGTCCCCTTCGAAAATTAGGGATCCAGAAACCGATATAATTTCGGTGAATTCAGTCGAAAACTTCGTAACAAAAGTATACAACCTTCGTCATAAAGAGTTTATTTTTTCTGAAAAATAAAAAGAATTAATTTATTTACATAAATGTATAATCCATATATGTATAATTCATGTATAATTCATTTATAATAAATAAATAGTTAATAGAGATCATTAATTAGGTCAAATAACTTCGTAATTTAAATAGAAAGAAAAAGTTCTCTTAATTTTTTTGTAAACTAATTAAAAACCATATACTATGAAAGTAATTGATTTCATAGATTAGCAAAATACAAGACAAATCTGAATTTGAATTATAACGCAGAATGTTAGAACAATGATTATTTGGAGGAATATTTCGACTTTACTTTTGGCATTGTACAATAAGATAAAAATGACTTAAAATAAAGTTTCAAAATGTTCCTCAAATTCATGTAGAGCTATATACAATTTCTGTTCCAATATTCTACGTTAAACTTCGAGCTTGTTCTTTGAATTCGAATTTCTCCGTGATTATTAGATTATTTAAAACCTTTTTCTTTTTCTTTTAATTTTAATCTATACAAATATATAGGATATGAAAGGATTAAGTGTGAGATAACTGGAAAAAGGATATTTCGCGTAAAAATAAAACGAAAATAATAAGTCGAAATTAATAATAATAATACAACCTTTTTCATATCACATCATGTTCAAAATTTTACATTTTATACTATTTCATATTTAATGATTTTCTTTTTTCTTTAATTCCGAGATCTATTTCGAAAATTGATAAATCAAAATCCGAATTACACCGGTTTCTTGATCTGATTTCTATCTTTCCGAGTCTTCTTCATTAATTTTTATCACGTGACTTTCGATCGCGTAATAATTAATTCATGATTAAGAAAGAAAAAAAACACGATGTGGTGCTATATTCAAAAAGACTAGACGCTACATTGTTGTTATCGGAATTAAATAGTAAGAAATAAAGACTATTATTATGTCGAAAAAATGAAGAAGCATTTCCGAAGAAATGTTTCTAGCGATTTTGTACTTTTTTGATTAAAGATTTGTTACAATCGCTCTTTCGTTCGCTAGAATGCGCCGTTAGATGTATAAGTGAATGAGTGCGTGTGTATCGACTGTTCAATAATAATTCTAACGCTCAAACATATGTGCTCATCTCTTTAATTTCTTCTTCATCGCTTCTTATAAAAGTTCATATAGTGTTATCTATAATATTTAACACGATTGTGAACCATACTTACGCGAAAAATGTAATATATTATTATTATTAAATAACAATATATTATACCCCACGCATAAAAATTAAACCATATATTTTTTTCTTTATAGAGCAAAAAGCACAATTTTTTCACAAGTCCATTAGTAATATTTTTTTTCCTATTAACACACTGTTGGAGATAAACGCGTGATTTCGATCATTAAAAAGGGGACAGATCGTTGTTTGTGTTTGGCTGCTTGATTTTTTTAACGCAGCTCTAAGTTATAACAAGTGAAACGACTTAAAGACGATTATACACGGAATTTGTTGATTTTTCTAGATTACTATCCTTAAGGATCGTGTCTCGGATATTATCGGAACTCATATCATTACAAGATGTTTTATATCAATCTTTAGTGGCAGATTTTTGTAGCCAAGAAAAAATAAATTAATCTCCATTAAAATAAATATATATTTTTTATTTATTCAAAATATATAAAATTAAAGTAAAAAGTTTTATTTTGGAAAAAAATTAACTCCAAAAGTAAGAAGAATGAGGTTTTACATCAAATTCTAATCTACGAAAAATTTTTTATCTTTAAAGCTCAATTATTTATTGGATCTTACATTTGAAGATAGGAAACTTTCACAATTATCGATCAATATTTGAATAATTAATTTTTCATTGATTATATGTCGGAATTAATTATTCAAAATTTTAAAAATTACTGATATCTAAGTAATTTCTTTTAAGAGAGGAAAATAGACTAAAAAGTCTGCCATTAAATCACATTTATTATTACGTTTGTCATTATAATGGAACGCGACAAACAAACGCTCAAAACTTGTCCGAACGTTTCCGCAAAATTCCGCGATATTTTGCGAGAGAGGAAGTTCTAAATTTTTTCCTCCTCCGAGACTATATTTTTACAAACTATCTGTGAAAAAATTTTATTTTCAATAGCCTAACAATTAAATTTCTATTATTATGCAAAACGATTCGACAATGTGTAACAAACGACAATGTTTCCCACTTTCGCTCATCGTCACTGGCAATGAATTATATAACACTTATATGTATTGTTTAAACATCTCCATACTTATATATAATGTATTCAACATTCCCTTTTCCACATCAAGAAATTAAATTGTATTTTCTTTCCATTTTTTATCACGATAAAAAAATTGTTACATCAGTTTTCTTAAGTTGCATCAACATCAGCATAATGTAATAAAAAATAATTTTTTCCGTAAGATTTTTATAACAAACTAGCATTGATTTGTTTATCATAACTCTAAACATCTCTAACAAACGTATGCTAAGTTAATCATAAAAAAATTTGTTTTCAATAACTCCATAATCAATGCATAAAGTTTGGTGTTTCGTAAATCCTAATTCAAATTTTACAATTTTTGCTTGCAAAACAATGTAATAGCATTTTCAATTTCTTAAATAGTACATTGCCAGTGTATGGACGTAGTAGTTTCTCTGTATTGAGTTACTCATGAAAGTACAGCATTCACGTATAATTTTCGTTTTATAATACTAACCATTTTATAATTTTCGGTCGAGAATAAACTTGTGAGAAATGGAGATGCTTCTCATGTCAGTCGCAACACTTCTTTCTTAAAATTACTGCACTACTCATCTTCGGTATCACCGTCGCTACTATAATCCTGTAATGTGGGTGGTCTCGAGAAGGGTGCCTCGTTAGTTTGACTGCAACATATAAAGAAAAATTATTTATCCGAATCTTATTAATATCGCATTCATTGTATAATCTTAATTAGTTTATGTTCTTTGTGTTAAAATTGTTTCTTTAAATTACATTATATTACAGTTATGATTTCTTTAACACGCCTCAAGAAAATTATAAAGCACTCACGCTAATCTACGATAATGATTCAACCACTCTTCCAACATCTGCGCAACGAGCAACGGTCTTTTGTGAAGTTTCTGCTGTGCTACAAGTATTCCGCCCTCTGTTCTGCATACATCCAACCATTCTTTATAGATTGATTCCTCACGACCGATTTCATCCGTCGTAAGAAAGTGTATTGGTAGAAGCTTATGCTCGCGATCCATTAGTGGCATAAAGGTGGTCTGCATTTGAATCTGTAGCTGCTCGAGTGGACTGTTGTTCCCGCTCACTACCCCATGGGTCGCGAGGGGCGGTATTCTGGACGAGGCATATGGCTCGATTGGAACCAACGCCGTGAAATGGCCACGGGTATAACCCAATGCAATTGGTGAACGGATGCAAAATGAGGGTTCCCATAATAGTGGTAGATAAACGCCCTCGAATCTTGCATAACCTGCAAAATAACAGAAATAATTTAATCTTAAATTAAAAAAAAATTCTTTCCATATTGTAGAAAAGATTTCTGAAGAATTTCTTGAATCTTATGAATCTTAAATTTTTGAAAAAAATCTTTAAAACTTTAAAGAAAATGTTATAAAATGTTTTAAGTGTTGTATATATGAATATATAAAAAATATAACTACTATTTAAATTTAGTTATAACCAATTTAATTGGAAATATTAAATAAAAAATTATATTTAAGATTAACATAATATAATCACATAAATGTTCAGTAAACAATTAAAAAGCTAAAGATAATTGATTTAAAATTGGATAAAAAATTTTAAAGATTTTACATCAACAAATAAATTAGTAAAATTTAGTACTTTTAATAAATTAGTACTTTTTTTTAAATTTACCTATATCTTCACCACGAAAACTTTTAACATATTTAACTCCATAGACTATAATGGGTCGTCTTAAAATGTGGGCAAGGGCAAACACGTGCAATTGTTCTAACGCGCTTCCGGGTTGAGCGGCCGTTGCTAACAAGCTTTCCCAGTCTTCTTGCCATTGTGTTTCTTCTAAAGTGAAATCTAACATCCTAGATGCTTGCGAGGCTTCATACTCTCTCCAACGAGGATAAAAGCTAGAAAATTGATTTTATATAAAATACATGAAACCCTTTCTAACTAAATAAAAAATATATATTTAGTCATTAAATAAACTTTTATATAATTATTTTTCATTCTTTTAAGAATTAATAATTTAATCATTATTTTACAATTTTATTCATTTTCTTCTTTTATTATTATTACTCCATCTATCAATTAATCTATCAATTAATCATTATTGGGTATCTTCCAACAAGTGACTTAGTACAATACAGTGATCATCTCATCCTTGTTTAATATTGATGAACAACAAGGATGTAATGATGCACCATATCATACCGTGTTATGTGTGTCTTTTATTAGAAAGCACCCATTATAAACTGAAAAATTAATTAACTTTTTTAATTTTTAATTTTATTATTTATTATGAATTTAACCGTTATTCATTATTTACACACAAATTTTAATATATATATATATATATATATGTGTGTGTATATTTATATTGAATAAATTAGATTAAATTAGAATAAATTAGAATAAATTATAGGTTAAAATATAGATTACAATATATATTTAATTAATTGCTAATCTTACAATTGTCCAGCTTGTTGTAGAGTGTCAGCAAGCGCTCTCCTTAGAGCATTGTCCCTATCGAAAACACCCCAAGTAGCCTGCATAGCAGAATCTAGAAGACAATCTCCGGCCGATCGGTTCCAGAGTGCGTGTAAACGACTACCTAATCGTTCAGTAATTTCTAAAGACCAATTTAGAGCTGGCGGTTCGCCACCACCGCCTTCCAATTGCTGTTGAGCTTCCTTATCTAACAATTCCTCTAGCATCTGCTCTTGTACAATACTCGGCAGATCTTCAACCTAAAAATATATATCTATTTCAAATATAAACATATATATATATATATATGTTGTGTGTGTGTGTGTGTGTGTGTGTGTGTGTGTGTGTACATATATATTTTTTATATAATCACTTTTTAGTAAGTTATAATTATTTCAAATAGAAATTAAATTTGAGCAAGGTTCGAACATTATTTATTATTTAAAAATATTTACTTTAAGGAATTAAAACGTTTACTTTTCGTCTAATTTATATTAAATCATAATATATATCATAGTAACCTCGGCTGGCAATGCGAAGGTAGCCATATCGGTAACGAAATAACAGGGAAATGAGCCCTTGCGTAAGCGTATACTGTTGGTGACATGCCGGCGAATCTGTACCGCGAGATCAGGTGCGACGTAACTTGGTACTCTTTTCACCCCTGAACCTGAACCTTCAATTTGTGACAGCAATGTTGCTAAAATATCTTCCCTTTGAAACCTGTAGAAAAATCCCAATTAAAATTCTATTAATTTATTAATGTTAAGAATCGTATTTTATATAATAGTATTGGTTTATGGAAACATTTATCTAAATTATTTGTGTTTACCTAATAGCCAAGTGCACCAAAGTGTGCCCAACGTCAAACGCGCTGCTTCTATTGAGGAGTAAGACCTCAGAATGCGTCAATTGGCGGGCAGGATCGCCACCGCTTGCCAGGTAAGCTTCAACAGGAGTGTTGTCACCTTCTACAATACCAAGACAAGCGTTTAACCAACACCAATCAGTGTGGCGTCTTAACTGCTTCAATCGACGTTCATAATCACAGTTATTCGGAGATTGAGGAGTTGACAAATCATTTCGGTTTTCTGCATACCTATGTGGGCCTCTGAAAAGTTAAAGATAAGTTATAAACGAATTAAATTTATTAACAGAAGAATATTATATTCTTTTGATAATGTATAATAACGCATATTTGTAACTTACTCAAGAAAACATAGTCAGAAATTACGTGTACTTAAAATAAAATATTGAACTTGATATCATTAATCTTTAAAAATATTTCCTCTCAATAAAATTTGTATATTTTCTCTGCAGATGTGAAATATAAAATATTAATTTAGTCACCTCCTTCCTATCGCTAAATTATCCTCTCTTTGTGTCTGATGAATATAGGGTGCATGTGGGGGCGATGGTAAACCTCGTTGACTATGTTCTCTCTCGGGACTTGGTAAAATCACTCCTACATTTCCGTGTGTTCCCTTATCCCTTCTATCTTTCTCCTTCGGATGACCGCACATTACGCATTTAGTTGCCTTGGGCCAGTTCTCGTAAGTACATACATGACAGGACCATTTTTCTGGATGCATATTGTACAATCTTTCCGGATGGAGATTAATCGGCGAGGGATTCAATTGGGAATTCGATCCCGAGTTTGGTGGTCCATCGGCCAATCGCAGTGGTGCTAAATGTTCATGAAGATTCGATGCTAATGAATTGACAGACTGATTGACCGACTTCCGGTTGCTGCACTGTACGCACCGCGTTGTATTTTGATAATTAAGATAAGTGCACATGCTGCAAGCCCACTTTCCCGCCGAAGGCAGATTCTGGCTATAATTTTGCGAGGTGAAATTATCCGTAGGACTTATCTGAGATACTGGACCTGAAGCAACATTGGAGGAACCTCTTTGAGGGCTAGGATCTCGAAGACGATAAATATCTTCGCCCAGGAGAGGCTTGGCACCTCTGCACATGGTGCATTTTAAAGAAGAGGGCCAATTCTCATAAGTGCAGTATTCGCAAGTCCATTTATGCTCTGTTTCCTCGAGTCTGCTGGTCATCTTCAATGGATGGAGAAATTAATTGATGGAGCTTTTGGTCTCGTTGTTGTGAGGAATACAATATTTCTCGATGCGGAAGAAAAGTTGAAAGATGACGTTGAAATGTGCACTAGACATTAAATATTTTAAATATCCTAGTTGAATTTTCTATGCTGCGCAGCGCAGTCTATTGGGAGATTTGTGACCAAGTATGGTTTATAGCCCAGTATACGCTATGTGATTAGCATTATGATTGATTGTAATTAAATAAAGCTACTAGAGATGTGCCAATGTAGACATTGGTGGAAGAACCTGAAAAAAATATTAATATTTATATTAAATATATTGTAAAAAATATAAATGGAAATATATATATATGTATGACATAATAAAATATTATATATTATTGCCTCTATAATTAAAAGCAACAATGGACGCTGTCTATTTAGCAATAAAAGTTGACACAAGTAACATTCTGTCTTTGTTATTCATGAAGCGCCAAGAAAGACAGAACAATGTTTGTGTCGACTTGCATTACTTCTTGCATCCAAAATGAGATAAATATGTTATCTAAGTATGTAAAAGAGAAAAAGTTAAATAGATATTGAAAGAGCTAAAGTTTTTTTCTTAAAGTTAAAGATATTAAAAGAACTAAAATTACATCAGAAAAAAGGATGAAAAAACATATAGAAACTGTGATAAAAAGAATAAATTTTCACTATTAAATCAATTCATTTAATAAGATATCTTTACAAAGAGAAAGAAAAAGCAAAGTGAAAAAAGAAACATCCACTGATAAGCTATGTTTATTATAATTGTTAGTTGCACTTTATCTCTTCCTTTTTTCTCTTTTTTTTCTTCTTTTAGTTTATATCTTACTTTATAGAAAACATAAAAAAAGCACGATTGAAATAAAAACATCTAAATGTATGTATGTGTATATAAAAAAATTATGCTTATATATATATATATATATATATACTAAATATATAAAGTACAAAGTGAAAGGACAGACATTCGGAATATTTAAAATTGAATATTCAAATGCAAAGGAGATAAGTTTAATCTTTTTAATCACATTTTTGCACGTGACCTTCTTATGTCAAGCATAATCATCGTACAAGTGGTTGTACGATTGTTTCTAATGACTTTGAAAGCAGGTAGGTACATATACACACTTTGAGTATTCAAAATTGGAATGCTTGTGTTGCTCGCTCTTTCAAGCTGAATTTCACAAAATTGAACACTGAACACGCGGTACCGCGTGACCGATCTCCCATAATACCTTCTTCGCGTCCCCCAAAGAAACCTAACCTGGCGGAACGAGAAGCGAGTTCTCCACTTCTCCCGTTCCCGTCAACAAATCCCTCGAGCGTGAGAAACAACAAAATTTTAGGAAATCGAGCAGCTCGTGCTACTTTTTGGACGGTCAAAAGGCGCGCGACTATTTCTAAGCAGTTGAACTGGTAACCTTGGCGTTATATCCGGTGCCACCTTGTGGAGCTCCGCACGTTGCCAGCTATCGTCACACTCGACTATCCTCCATAAGAGATCCCTCAGATCGGCACCGTCCAGTCGACTCATACACTATTCATGCACCAGCGAGCGCGCAGTTTTCATAGCGCACAGCTCGCATCAACTCGCATTCGCGGGAACGGACAGGTAGGTTAAGCTCGGTCGCTCGCACGCACACGTACGTGCTTGTACACGCGCACGATCAATCTCGCGAGCGCCCTTCCTTCCTTCGGGATTATCCGACGACTGACGACGACGACGACGACGAGGACGAGGAATCGGAACGCGGGACACGAGCAAAGAGAAAGACAACGGTAGCGACGTCTCCCTCCCTCTTTTTCTCTCTCTTTCCCTCTCTTTTTTCCTCTCTCTCGTCTCGACGAAGACACGATAGAAGACAGGAGAAGCGCGAGTCGCTGTCACCGCTGGTCACCGCGTCACGACATCGTCTGCGAGCGTTCGCGCGCGCTCCACGGCGTGCTGCTCCGCCTGTCACCCGATGCTGGCGAACTGCTCCGCAAATACGACAGCGGCGGTGACGACGACGACGGCGATCTCGCTCGCTGGCCGCGGAAGTAGGTTTTGACAGTCATCCGCAAACAGACGGGTACCAGTACTGCCAACCACTCGCGCAGCTCGCGCTCTCCAGTCCCCGTCCCCTTCACGCCGTGGCGACTGGCGTACGGCGTACCGTTACGTCATGGAAGCATGTGCGCGTGCGCATGCCGCGTGCGGCGATTGGAGTACACGCGATCGCGGCTAACCTCCAATTTTCTCGTTCAACCTGGACTCTGCGGCAACGAAGTCGCCAATGGATCGCCAGTCTTTCATTAGGAACGTAACTTCAACGACTGCAACAGCTGGACAACCCGATCCCAATCTCCTCGTCAGGAACATGCGTAAGGGTAACCTAACCTAACTTCAGTTTTCGCCGATCATCTCGCTGTGTTTTACGCTTTTTTCTCTCTTTGCGAAAATAAATTCGCGATAATCTGGTCAGGACAAATCAAATGTCTGTGTACGATCGAACAGTTTCTTATTGGCATATGATTAGCAGAAAACCTAACTTAACGTTAAAACTCCGCGTGTTCGTCGCGAGACGCGATCAAAGTTTATTGATAAACAGCGATAATCTCGTTGGGAAAATAAGATCTATCGATTTTACTTTATCCTCGATTACATAAATGACGTCAGTGTTCACAGCTGAGTTTGTTGATCCCGTTACATCATACAAGGCTGACCTAACCTCAAATTGTACTGCAACTACGAGTATAATCGTATCTTTTCCGCAGAATTGAAACCATTGAAAAATGTTCAAGAGACATCTCGCTTTTGACATCCTGAACGGTGCATCACGAAACTTGTAATAAAAGGACAAGCAGCACCTGATTCGAGTTTTTGCGCGTATCCTTGACAATTCAACTCTGATCCACATGAACAATGCCTATGAATCAAATTTGCTTGTTCACCTTTGGATTTGTATGACTTTTGTTCTATTCGACGACTTTTTGCAATAAGTTTTGCAAACTGAAACTGAATCTGAGTTTTCCCTCGAAAAATGAGAAAGATTGCATTGGCGTGATCGACTATTTGCGAGGCTATTTTTTATTTATAAATATCTCGGACCCGTTGCCAATTGGGACCACTTAGTCTAAACGTTTCTCCTTGACATTTCATTGACGACATAGCGAGATTGTTCCGAATCTGTCAGTTAACAGTTGCAAATGCCATAGATTTTCCTGCCTTGTTTCGATATATAAATTTGTTATATCCATAGATCTTTACAGCATTTAAAGCGAGTCTATTTATTATAACTGCTCTGATTTTCCACATTTTAGATCTATATTAAAATAACAATAGAAAATTAATTAAACATAGGAAATGCAACTAATGTATGTGATGAATATAAGCATCTGTTCTATTTTATAGAGTTTTTGATTGACACAATTAGAAGATTTGATTTGAGTTGAAGGAGTGATTAAATCTTTTAAAGAATTCATATGCAACTGAACACATAATTTGGATATTATAATAAGCTACAACTTAAACGCTAATCTGATTTTCAATTGAAGAAGCAACATTAAATTTTATTTTTGATGCCAGAATCATGTTTTATTTTAAACATGCAAAGTATAACTCAGCATAGCTAAAAAGAACACACTTTGTGTCATCTGCTCGTGATAACGTTATCATCCGAATCAATAAAACTGCTAAGATATTTCAGTAATATTGACTGCCTCTCATCACCGAAAAACTTATTCAATTACGTGAAAGAATCACGATGACAAAAATGGATAAAATGGTGATACGGGTGTTATACGGAAGCGAGACCGGAACCGCTCAAGATGTTGCTGAACAAATCTGGAAGAGCGCCAAAAGGTTTGTTGTTGTTCCTCTTTGGCACATAAACCTTCTCCTCTGAGAAAATTTCTGGCACGCGAACCTCATGTCTTTAAATGATGTTTTAACAGATGTCATTTACTTTCATCCTTAATGTCGGTTATTTTTCTTATATAATTAGCTTCAGTATATATATATTTTTTTCTATCTAACATTATTTTAAAAAACGAAATCAACAGCGAAGATTCACCAAGGATCATTTTTCTTTTTGGCACATTTATGTTATTCAGAATAATTTACAATTTTACACACACACACACACACACACACAAAGAAATAAATAAATAAAACAGAAATGAATACAGAGAAAAAACCAGAAAAAAATATTTCACTCTTTATATATGAAATTTATTTTAAGTAATTTAATTGTATAATTAAGTGATATTTTATTTTGATTATTCACACCTTATATGAATAAAGTTTCATTATGAATTTATCTTATTCTTTTTGTATATAAAAAATAGAAAAAATATTTTAAAATTTAAAACATGTATAACATTTCAATTTGAAACTGAGAGTATATAATGTATGTTTTTAATGTTATAGGAAAGGATTGCAAAGCACAGTATCATCTCTGAATGACTATGACATTCAAAATCTCCCTTCCGAACAACTGATTATCTTTGTTATTGCAACGACTGGACAAGGAGACCCTCCAGCTAACATGAAACAATTTTGGAGACATCTGTTACGCAAGACTCTCCCAGCAACCATGCTTCAAAATCTGAAATATGGCGTACTTGGATTGGGCGATAGTTCTTACTCAAAATTCAATTTTGCTGCGAAGAAGTTAAATAAACGTCTCGTGCAATTAGGTGGCGAAGAATTATTACCCATTGGACTTGCCGATGATCAGCATAATCTGGGAATTGATGCTGTGGTCGATCCTTGGATCAAAAAATTATGGGAAGAAATTGCAAATGTTTTCAAAATTTCTGTAGAGGATAAAATAAACAAAGAAGATTTGATAATTGAGAGATACAGTATTTCAATAATAGAAACGGATCAATCAAATCCAATACGTATTGACGAACAGTTATTAGACATTCCATATCATTTAAATAATGATATCTATGCACATGAAACATTCATCAATAGCGACGTCAGAATAGGAACGATAGTTGAAAATATAAGAACTACTTCCCAAGATCACTTTCAAGATGTTAGATTAATAACAATCGAAGCGAATAATATTAATTACGACCCTGGAGACGTTATCTACATTAGACCGAAGAATACGGCAGAACAAGTAAAACGGTTTTTTGATATACTACACGAACACGATATAAAACTGTTTCCAGATACAATAATTCAAGTATCGGAGAAGGAGATAAAGGTTCCATTTATTTTAAAACAAAATTTAACTTTAGGAGAGATTGTTGAACAATATTGGGATCTGAATTTCAAGCCACGAAGATCTACCATGCATACTTTATCTCTTATCAGCGAAAATGAATTAGAGAAAGAAAAACTATGTGAATTTACCAGTCCGATTGGCCAAGAAGAGCTTTATGATTATATAAACAGGCCAAGAAGAAATATTTTGGAGGTCCTCACAGATTTCCCTCACACGACCAGTAAATTAAACATTACGTTATTGTTTGAAATCATGTCACCCATAAAGCCACGTCCTTATAGCATTGCCTCCTGTTTAGAAGGTACTCCAAATAGAATACAAATTCTAGTAGCAGTAGTTAAATTTAAGACTAGATTGGTGGAGCCGAGATTTGGGTTATGTTCAAAGTGGTTGGCAAGTTTAAATAATAATGACAAAGTGATATTTTGGCTGCAGAAAGGCACTTTTCGGTTTGATAATAATAAGCCGATGATTTTGATTGGTCCTGGAACTGGAGTAGCTCCATTTAGATCTTTGCTTTTAGAGAAAGTGAAAAAAGGAAAAGATTTAAAAGAATGTATCCTATTTTTTGGATGTAGAAATGAGAGTAAGGATTATCATTGTAGAGAAGATTTTAAACGTTTATCAAGAAAAAATAATCTGAAAGTATTCTGCGCATTTTCCAGAGATCAGCATCACAAAATGTAAATCATTAAAATAAATTATTCTTCAAATTATTTTTATTATTTCACAAATACAAAATAAATTTGAAGATAAAATAAAGATTATTATTATAAAATAGAGTTTATTATTTTGAAATCAATTATAAAAAGATTGCAAAATATATGAATCAAATCCTAACTTTCTTAATTATACTTTCAATATTTTTTCAGATATGTCCAACATCTTATCCGCCAACAAAGAGAGCTGTGCTGGCAGTTTTTAGAAAATAATGGTAGTATTTATTTAGCAGGAAATTCTAAAAATATGCCGGATAATGTGCGTGACGAATTCGTTAGTTTAGCAAAAGAAATTGGAAAAATGACAAAGGAACAAGCCGAAATGTTTATTAAACATTTGGAGAAGAACAATCGTTATCAAACGGAAACTTGGGGTTGACGAAAAAATTGCCGAGATTTAAGGAAAATATCTAATAGACGAAAATGTCATTTTGTACAAAAAGTGTATATATTATGTATATGTTATGTGATAAAAATATATATTGTCTATATTTCACATAGAAGCATACAAATATACAAATGTTTTTAAGTAATAATAATTACTTTTTAAATTGTTGTATACATTACTTAATACACTATTACATTATAATGTTAATTAACTATGTATATTACTGTTATTATTTTCTTATCTATTAACGGGACTTTTAACAACTATCATAAAATTATACTACTACAACTTGAATAATTAACGCAAGCTAAACAAGTTTCATCTCAGATATTTATATAACATAGGAATTTAATTAAGATCAAA